CCAGGCTTCTCCCGTGTCCCATCTAGCCCGACTAGAAACCAAAGGACACAGCCCAAGGGCATACCCATTAATCTTGCTGGATGGAGAGGAACATATGGGAGAGCAGCTGGCTGCTTGGTGAACTATGCCGCTGCCCTTACCTGGAATTCTGATGTTGGCTTGCCGAATCTCTCTTGCTCTGCTTCCCTGGATTCTCATTACTTCACAAAGGCCCAACATGCTTCAGTCCACTATCACTGAGATCGTCAGCTTCAGGTACCTGAGGGCCCTTGAATAGGATGCCCGCAAGGCACCTTCCTTAAGTGTCTCTCCCTTCTCACGGCCTGGCCGGCAGCTGCTCCCCCTCCTCCTGGCCACATGCACATGCTTGAGCCCGTGAGCAAGTAGTCAGTGGCACTTGCTCCTCCAGCTTCTCTGCACCCTCATCGGGGCAGAGCAAGTAGCACATGAAGAGTCAGGTTGCTCAGTGAAGCAGGCCTTTGGTGCGGAAGCCGGGCTCGTCCTTTCGATGCAGTCTCTATTCCTTTGTTGTTGCATTCCTCATTCGGGTATCTGATGTCTTTGCTTCATGGAAAGCATCACCAATTGGTGTGGTGATGAGTGTTGGACCAGGGCCCTGGGACATCTGGGTTCTAGCCTGCACTAGGCCATGAAGCTGACCGGGTGACTTTGAGCCAGTTAATCACTCTCAGCCTAACACACCCCACAGGGCTGCTGCTGCTGCTGCTGCGAGGGTCAAGGTGGAGCACAGGGGAACCGTGTGAGCAGCCCTGGATGCTTTGCAAGAGAAGAGACGTGGGATTTAAATGCAATGTCATACTAGCACAAAGAACTTAATCACGGTTCCCCCCACCAAAAAAAGTAGTTCTAACTAACGTTGGCCACACTGAGTACCATTTCATGGTCAAAGTTGGATGTAAATCAGATACATGCTGGAGGGAGGTAAGAAGGAGTTGAGCAACTCTGCTGGGGTGTGGGCTAGAGGCCATGCTCAAGCGGCACACTTCTCCCATTTCACCAATGAAACTTTTGCAAACTGACCGGTCTGAACAGAAAAGCTGGTGGATTTCTCAAGAGATCTTTGGCTCTTGGGCAGTATAGAAATGAAGAACAAGAATTGCTCATGTGGGTGTTTCTTCTCATTGTTTAGAGGCAAGCTGTGCCCTGGGAGAGGAAGGCACCTGAGGCCTATCCCAGCATCTCCCAATCTGGTACCCTCCGGATATTTTGCAATATCGATGCCATTAGGCCCAGCTGGTATATTCAGTGTTCAGGGATTCTAGGCATTTCAGTCCAAAACATCTGCGGGGGGGGGGGGGGGACTTGGGGCAAAAAGATGCTTCATCAGGTCAAAACAATGCTGTTTAGCATAGATTGCAGCCATAAACTAAGGCAGGGCATGCTGATGGAGAAGGCGAAGGAGAAAGAGGAACAAAAAGCTGCAGTCCCACACCCTCTATTCCCACGTCAAAGAAAACAAAGAGGAAGGAAGAGCTGACAAGAAGCTGGCAGCAAAGAAAACCGGATGCCCATAGACATATCAGCACTTCGACAAGGACATCTAATTAGAGCACGATTAATGCCAATCATTCCATCTCTGCCTGCCCCAACATGCATCCTTTCAAGGTTGGCATCCATCTTTCCGCACTGGCATCTGTACTGTGGCTAACACTGTGCTCCTAAATGACAGGAGAGTAAAAGTGACGGCATGTGCCAGATGGAACGAGAAGCGCCAGCAGATCAGCCTTACTCATCTGCTGCAGCAGAACAGACAAACAGCCCAGTGGCACCAAAAATCTAACTCATTGCCACAAATTTCATAAGCAGGAGCTCACTTTTTCGCTGGCACAGGATAAGAAAACAAGAATGGTCGTTCTGGATCAAACCAAGGGTCCCAATCTTCCACCCTTCTGTCCACATGGCAGCTAGCTACTGTCCACAGGAAGCACCCAAGCATGGTGGGGCGGGGGTGGCTCCTATCTCCCTCCATCCACTGCAGCTTTTATCTTGAGGTTTCTCAAAGTTATCCCTGTAGGTTCAAAGGAGCAGCTTGGGATTTGGAGCTCAGACATCGCCAACCTTAGCTTGTCCTTCATTTCTCCTCAAGTGGCTTTGTCTCTGACCCTCTTCAATTTGTCTGTTGTGAAACAGACATTGAGTGGAGGGGGTGGGGTCAAAGGAGCAATTAATTGCATCATTACATGGAATTTAGAGTGTGGATGTCCAGGACCCAACTCTGTGCTGGACTTGGGTTCTTGAGCAAGTGACTTTTCCTTTAGTTTCTCCAATATGTTTATGTTTCTACCACACCCTTTTTCTTCCCAGGAACTCCAGGATGACTTTTCTTCCTATGCTCCATCTTATCCACACAAAAACCACCCTGAGAGATTGGGCTAAGAGCCAGTTGGTTCCATGTCCGAGCAGGGACTAGATTACCTGAGTCCCAGACCTACACACTTAACCACTGCACCACACAGCCTTTTTAACAGCCTGTCAGCCATTTCTTGAACAAGCAGCCTATCCTCATAGCAGAACATCTGTTTGAGTTCCCATGACCATCTCTTCCCATTCCAAATATTCCCACTGACCCAAACACTAAATGTGTATTAAGACTCTGAATATCCACAGCCTGCCTTCTCCACCAAAGGAAATCCCACAGATTTGGAGAAGGGAAAGATCCAGTGCAGTATATCTGGCCATGCAATCAGAAGCCAAGAATCTGGGCTGCTGGTGCTAACAAGTGTTAATTTTGCAGTGGTGCTAATGGTACTCTGAGAGGCTGCTCTCTGTCCTCCCAACACTCACACGGCAGTCAAAACTGTAATGCTATATCAAGTCCAAGCTGCTCCTGGCAGTAAGACGGTTGCGTTGATTACTATTTGTGATGCACGGGGCCTGCTGGGACCAGGAACATCCCGTCAGGTTGGAAAAGGGAACTCGGAGGCATTTTCTTGAACAACTCAAAAGGCAAGAGACCAATTTCCCATCATTGGAAAGGAATTTGTGGAGAGGGAAAGCAGTTTCACCCTCGGGAAAGCATCGGCATATGTTCTGCGTTGCACACTGGAGCACCACATGCATAGAAGATGCTTTGTTGACATCACTAATGCAGAATGCGCTGACCCCAAGGGCTCAATCCCCTCTCGAACCATCTGCCAAGCCTCTCTTTTCCCTGTACCGTGTCTACCTTGATTAGGCAACTTGGCGTCTGCAAGGGATCACCTTTAAAAGACCTCTAAATGTCCTCCTTAAAGCCCGATTTAAAAGAAATCAAAAGGCTTGCTTCAGTTCAGAATAGATGGCATTGAGGAGCAGCCACCCTCCGTGCACTGGCCTGAAGTGGGGCAGGAAGCAGGAGCGAACAAGCCAGGATGCAGAACCCAGGAGAGGACTGGAGGGCAAAGTTAAAGGCGGGATCCAGGGGTCAGAACCAAAGATCCAGTCTGATCCATAGGGCAAGTCAGGAGGCCAAGCTAGGACCACAGAACAGGTCAGAACTGCAGAAACCAGGCAGCAGGAGTAGGGAGCAGGGGCGAAAGGATAGGTGCAAACTGCAGGCGAAGGCTGGGAGGCTTCAGCCAGAGCTAAAGAGCAAGTCAGAAGGACAGGTCAAACCAGAACTGCAGAAACTCAAGGATACAAGAGCTTAAATGCCCCTCCTAGTCCAGCAGGCTAGGCCTGGAAAGGGAGACCCTTAGATCCCTTTGTGCCTACAAAGGTAAGAGATGTGAGCTTTTGAGAGCGGGGAGGCATCTCCATCATGTGATCTCCCCATATGCCCCTTGCCCCTCGACAGACATACCCCAGGCAAAAGCTGGCCACCTTTGCAAGAGCTGGACGTGTACAAGGAATCCACCCACCGGAGAACACCTGCGCTCAGCTCCCCAGACCCCGGTCCACTCTGCGCCAGCCCCGTGTCCAAGTTCCTAGCAAGTTTTTGGTTTATTTCATTTTATGCTTTTATATTTGGTTATGGATTATTATGATTTAACTTGGGTTAATTTATTGGCTATTTATTATGGTGCGTGTGGCTATATTTTATTAAAAGATGTTATTTTATTGCCTTCTCTATTTTATCTATTATTGAATCTTATGCATTTTATGCTGTTTCTAGCATTTGTAAGCCACCCAGAGAGACTTTGAGTTATGAATGGGGAGGAATAGACATGGAATGAAATAAATAAATAAGGAGCTCCCCTCTTCTGCACCTGGAGCTGCCACTGCCAGCTGCACTGGGCTGTGCAGAAGGCTGGACCCTGTGAAGGACACTGGCACAAGCTGCTAGCCCATGAGTCATCCTGGATTGGTTTGCTTTGCAGAACCAGGCAGGCACAAGAGGAAGTCTGCAGAAGTATTACTTCCAAATCACGAGAAGTAGTAGTTCCTCTATACTCCTCACTAGTCAGACCTCACCTGGAATACCACGTCCAGTTCTGGGCACCAAGATTTAAGAAAGATGCAGAACAATTAGAAAGGGTCCAGAGGGAGGGCAACAAAAATGATCCAGGGTTTGGAAACACTGCCCTGTGAGGAGAGACTGAGGGAATTGGGCATGCTCAGTCTTGAGAAGGGAAGACTGAGGGGGACATGATATCCTTCTAGAAGTCCCTCAAAGGCTGTCACAAAGAGGAAGGTCAAGATCTCTTCCTGCTAATGACAGAGTGTAGGACACAGAATAATCAACCCAGATTCAGGCTGGACATCAGGAAAAGCTTCCTCACTATCAGAGCAATACAACAGTGGAACCAGCTGCCTTGAGAGGTGGTGGTCTCTCGCCCACTAGAGACATTCAAGGAGAAAGTAGGCAGCCATCTGAATGGGGTGGTGTGACATGGTGTCCTGCAACAGCAGGAGGTTGGACTTGATGGCCTTCGTGGCCCCTTGCAGCTCTTCTATTCTAGGATTCTAGGTGAGGGGTGGATTCTGAAAGGCTTTGTCCCAAGCCCAGTGCAAATCAGGTGGCCAAAGCAATTTGTGCAGGAATCTTTTAGCAGCCTTACCTGCTCTCCCCATCCACACTGCTGGAGAGCAGGTGGCACCTCCTAGACCGTGTAACTGCTGAGGAAGAACAAGAAAGAGGCATAGCACTTCTCATCCAAGATGTCCATGGGTTCTTCTCTAGGGGATGGGTGGATTCCCCATATTCTTGCAGAAGAGAGAGCACATTCTGTACATGCGGAGTTTCCCATGAAGCTTGGTGAGAATCAGTCCCAGCATGCAGACTTGATCTGAGTGGAAAGCGACATGAAAGCATAAATAGCACATCAATGCTGGCTATTGAACAATATGATAAAGGATATTTTTTAAGTTTGGTATTGAGAGAGATGCTGCAGAGCACAAGCTGGAGCAGGGCTGTGATGATCCCACAGAAACCTGCTAGGTTCTGTTGATCAGATTTCTTGATCATGCCCAGCCATGACTTAGGAAGCAAGCTGAGCCACGAGGAAATCTCTGGATGCTTGTGGAACGTCTCTTGAGCAACCTGGCAACCTTTCTCTGCAGCATGAACAGCTCAAACAAGGTCTGAAAATCATGTGTGCAGACAAGGGATGCTGCTTGCATACCATCTCATGGGCTCTTCTGCCTCATCTTAGTTCCAAATGTTAGATTTTGCAACTTTGCATTAGGGACATGATAAATCGAGATCAAAAATTAACTGCTATTAATTTATTCAGTTTGTCCCTTCGGGAGGGAGCCCTGGACCTGATCTGAAGTTGAACTCTTACACTTTTGAACTCAGTGAGATTTCTGGATCAAAAGACAGAAAGAAATGGAAAAAGAAACTGCTCTCGACAGCAAGTATGCTTTTGAAAAATGTACATGAAAAAGAAGTACTTTTCATAAATATACTTTAATCATATACTTTATACATATGTATATGTATATACACTTTATACTTTAAACATATACTTTAATCACTTGGAGAAGAATATGCACATTTCAAAGATGTGCACAATGAGTATAAATTTAGACTGAGACAAGATATACACAGATGTTCCTGCAAAGAGGGACTATTGTAGCAAATGTCTGAACTTCAGGACTGACTGTCAGAATGGTGGGGTGGGGTGCAGTGGGTCGGGTCCACATTCTTGAAAGATCATTCAGACTAGCCCCACATCCTTATCAGGGACGGGTCTTGGAAAGCTACAGGCATCAAAGCACATGAATGATGCATTAAATGGAAGAAACTCCACATCTCCAGAGTCTGCACAATCTGTTCTTCTCAGCCTGCAAAAGCCCACAGTAGGCCGACCATTAAGACACAAACATTTCCACACGGCAGACGGGAATTTAATAAAGGAAATTGGCAGGTCTAATAATAAACAACTGACTCTTAATGGAATTTGGTCACAAGTTGAAGGGATTAATTATGGAGGCCCTAAGCAGGTTTTTCTGGAACAACTCAGAGGGGCAATGTGCCAAGCCAGGTTTTAGACAAGCTGCTTTCGTATCAGGAAATAGCATTCAGAGAATCAGGAATTTAATATAGACATGGAGTTTCCAGATCGGCGATGCCTGGGAAAAAGGGGCGCTGCAGTGCTTCCAGCCCAGAGAGCAGCATGCTCAAGGAGTGTGGACTAATTTATACCGGAACGGTGTATAATGACAACCAGTTCAATGGCATAAAGTTCTTGTTTATGAGAAACGTCAAGGTAACCCAAGACCACAGATGGTTCTTTCTGTTTCTCAGCTTGGGTTTCCTACCCCGGATACCATTCTACTGCCAGAAAGACATCAGGCAAGTAATATTGTTGACCAGGGTTGAGACCCAGTGACCCTTGTGGATCATCGGGTCTTGTGAGAAAAGTTACTGAGGCCCCCTGACAACGTGTTGGCCACAATCTCCCCTACTGGTCACCCCTGGTTGCTGAAGGAAAGCCCTCCCTGCCACAGACACTACCTGGGATTCCAGGGATAGCTGGAATGGATAGCAGAAACACGTTGGGTTCCTCCATTGTTCAGACAGGCTACTGGTCTGGTTGGGGCAAGGTTGGAGCCTGGTGGTGGGGCATATGGGCACTCAGCCCCAGACCACACACTCTGGTAGGTCATCTGATTTGATCCTAACCAACCTGGGGGTTTCTTGCTGGAAGCTGTGGCTTCCAAGCCATTTTCTTGCACTCATAGTTGGAAAATGGCTTTGGACTGGATGCCTTTGCTTCAGATATCTCTGATCCTTTGATCTGCTGGGTCACTTTGCAAAGTCAAATCAGTTTTCTTGTTTAATGAGCTGCAATGCAGTTTGATTTATGGCAACCGCAGAGATATGAAAGAGAAGTCCAGTGAAGCTTAAGAAACAATACTACTTTCCAGAGATACTGTTTTTGCTGAAAACTCATAGCTGTATTATGTTTCAGTGGTAATATAACAAGAAGAGACTCGGGGTGAAGGAAAGAGGTAAATATAACTGTTTTTACTAAAATCCCTGACTTCAAGAGTTGATACATCAGAGTATGCCTCTGTTTTATGAACTGCCCAGCTAGCTCTGACTACAGGGTAGAACAGAAAAGCACTCATGAATAAATACGCATTTCTGTGGAACTGATTGCCAGGAGACTGGGCACCAAGAACCTAAGCTGACTTGAAAAGCAATATGCTAAAGCAGATGTTAGCAAGTCTTTGTCGCATTGTATCTCTTCAAGAAAGAACAGCCAAGCATCTTGGTCAAGTGCAGAAAACCTGGGTGCTCCACAATTTAAGCCAATTAAGTAAAAAAGGATTTTAGGAAGAATTCCCCCACCCCGCATTCCAACTTTCCTGGGGACCTCCTCCAGTGAAACAGCTGTTGGAAAATAGCCTTCCAGACTGGGCTTGGAGGCAATTTCTAAGCTCTTAAGAAGCAGTCGGTAACAGTAAGGTAGTTTACCAACTGTGGATTATTTTTCTATCAGGGTAGTTCCAAATGTTTCAGATATGCTGGGTTTCAATCCAAATAGATAATTTTAAGAGGCAGAATTGTTTGGCAAATGGTATAAAACCATTTTAAACCTCCTATTCTGGAACAGCTTGGTCATTAAGTTTACCTTTTCTCCCAAATCTTTTCCATGACTATCCTCAGTGGTACTTGATTAAGGATAGGTGAGGGTTCCTGATGATGATGATGATGATTTTATAAAATAAGGACATCCAAAATCTATACTTTATTTCAAGACTAGGGCTGGAAGAAAATGAGATTTAAAATTTTGGATCTAGAGGAGAGTGAAAGTGATAGATACATCCTTATCATGGACTGATACGATTGTATTGGGTTATGCACCTTGAACCATGGGGATATTCAAATCACCAGGTATTTAAAACAAGAGCCAGTGTGGTGTAGTGCTTAAGAGCATGGGACTGGGACTCAGACGACCTGGGTTCTAGTCCCCACTCAGCCATGGAACCAACTGGGTGACTTGGGCCAGTCCCAGACTTTCAGCCCAATCTACCTACAGGGTTGTTGTTGTGGGGATAAGATGGAGGAGGAGAATGATGTAAGCTGCCTTGAGCCCTTTGTAGGAAAAAGGTAGGATACAAATCGAAAAATAAATAAATAATAAATATGTCCGACAAAATGCTGTTTGTTTTTTTGGTACCATCAGTAACAGCAGAAACAGCAAATACCCTGAAAGCAAACATTATTACATATCAACTAAAGTGAAGAATCTGGAATGGAACATTTCAAAGCTGAGATGCCAAAACTGAAATGGGGGGTGGGGTGGGACAGGGCTTTCCTAGTGGCTAAACCAAAGAACCTAAGCCCTCAGTCTAATGGATCAGGTCAAGGTTCCATCTAGTTCAGGCAACTCTTGAAACAGCAGCCAACTTATGGTTATGCTTTAATTGCATCCTCTTTTGTCTCCATTTGATTATTACAACCACCCTGAACACCATTTTTAAGGTGAATAGGCAGGACATAAATTGAGTCATCAATAAAATGGATGGATTAATGAATGCACTATCAGCACAGAAAAACAAATGCCACTTTTGATCTAAAGGAAGGGTCAAGTGAAGAAAAGAAAAAGATAAACAGATAGGAGAGGTGTTATTCTGGTTCAAACCTTCTGTATCAGAGCCACTTAGGTGGGGTAGCTGCCTAGAAGAGCACTCAGGAATTCCCTGTTCTCTTTTCCTGCTGGGGAGAGTCATTCAAATGCTCTAGCCTCTTGACCAGTCTGTCTTCAAAGCCCTCCATGGGAAGCTTGCTATTGGTTCTTGCTGCCTCTTTCAGGCAGCATCCTCCTCCTTTGTAAATGGCCTCTCAAAGGCCAAGGCAATTATTCAAGGCAAGTGTAGGGGAAAGAGAGAAATGCACGGTAGGGGTACCACATTTGCATGCCTTTTCATTTCCACACTTAGTGCTGCTAACGAGCTTGCTTGCTGTTTACATGACTCCAAGACAGACTGAAGAAGAAGCTGAAGGAATGGCCTTCAAACAGGTCATGTGGATATGAGGAAGAAGGCCCCCTGTCACCCTCTCAGTGTATGATTCTGTATCCCCTTTGGTCTCTCAAAGTTCACATCACTTTTCCAGCTGTGCGAACCAGACACCAGAGGTGCCTTAAAGGATTCCAGATCACAGCAGTGGGTGAACACTACAGCATAAAAAAGAGTAAATGTTGCCCATTAAAAGACAGGGCCCCTGGTGTGAATAAATATGGACACCTCCTCTGGCTTCCTTTGCTTCAGGCTGACACTTTGGTCTTGCTAAAAGTCAATGAACACTGTTATCTGGCACCAGACAGAGAAACTGTGGCTAGACTTTCCTCTGAATGCACCCCTCAGTGGGAGAGAAGGTGCTCTGAAATTTCACAGATGGCTCAGTGTCCGGGAGAGAAGAATCTTATTCCAAAAAAAATAGTGTTATAGCAACATAAGCAACTTTCAGGACCCTGGACAGCATGTCAAATTCAGAGAGCATGAAACGCCACTCCCCAAGGATTGAGTGTGGGTTGTTGTTGGAGCATGGGTTCTGCTGAACTGTAGGTCATGGTGTCATCTGAACCATGTGCAGTACCAACCATGATGAGAAGTTTGGACTCAGTGGTCTCCTAGGGTCCTTCCAACTGTATGATTCTATGAGAGAATCCACCAAACCATCCTATTATAGAGCACAGGTTAATTTTGCATGAACTCTAGCCAACGCTACTGGTTGGATGGATCTTCTCTATCACAAGAAAAATGTTATGCCTGAAAAGATCTTTGAGATACAGAAATAACAGCTAGAAAGACAGTTCAGTCTTGTCTGCTT